GTGAGTATTTTGACGGGGGTTGCGATGGATCTGTGGATTGCTTTGGGTAACGTGGCCATTTTGATAGTGTTGATTCTTCCAATCCAAGAGCACAAGAAATCCTTCCATTTCTTTGTGTCATTTTGGTTTTCGGAGTATAGGTAACTTCCTTGGTTAGGTTTATTTCTAGGTATTTTGTTGTTTTTGATGTAATGGAAATGTTTATGCCAGTTATAAAATTCCAGTTTTTGAAGTGAAAAAAAAAGTGAATGAAAGGCTGCAAATGGCAAAATCTCCTTCTTTCTTATGCCATTACATATATGTATGCTGCATCTTCATTATCTATTCAACTATTGATGTGCACTTAGGATGCTTCCATATCTTGGCAATTATAAATAATGTTGCTGTTAATAGCAGGGTGTATACACCTTTTTGAATAAATTCTTATTTTGTGGTTGGCTTTATTCGTTTGATAACTATGTAAGTTTAAAAGCTGAAGCTCTAAATGTTCTTAGAAACAATGAACAGTACATATATGTAATTTAAAAATACATATACAGTAAAAAAAAAAAAGCTATCAAGCCATGAAAGGCATGGAAGAAACTTAAAAGACACATTACTAAATGAAAGAAGCCAGTCTGAAAAGGCAACAAACTGTACAATTCCAACCAAATGACATTCTGGAAAATGCACAGCTACAGAGACGATAAAAAGATCGTGGTTTCCAGGGGTTTGGGGAGAGGGAAGGAGGGAGGGAGGAATGAACAGATGGAGCACAAGGGATTTTTAGGGCAATGAAATTATTCTGTATGATACTGTAGTAGTGGCTACATGTCATTATGCATTTGTCAAAACCCATAGAATGTACAACATTAAGAGTGAACCCTAATGTAAACTGTGGACTTTGGTTGATAATAACGTGTCCATGTTGATTCATCGATTGTACCAAATATGCCACACTGATGAGGGATGTTGAGGGTAGGGGAGTATATATGTGTGAGTGGGGAGGACTACATGTGAACTCTCTGTATTTTCTGCTCAATTCTGCTGCAAAACTGAAACTGCTCCAAAAAAAAAAAGTCTATTAGTAAAATAATAAAAATAAAAATAAAAATAATAAAGGCTAATCTGACCTTTCTAGTGCTGACTTAGAAAAATCACCCCAGTATTTCAATGTGATGACACTGCATTGCTTACCATGTTACTATTACATAAAAAACTCTAAAAAGTACATCTGTTGGAGTCAGACTATATTCAGTATACATGCAGACAAACAAGAAAAATGTATTTTTCCCCAATTCAGCCCTAATTGAATAAATCACTGATACCAAGTCTAAGCAAATCCTCAAGACCCTAATGTTCCAGAGGATTACTGTGAATTTCAGCAGTGAATTACTCCTGTCTTTTTTTTTAATGCAACCACGTACTCCCAGTTGTAGAGCTCCACATTCTCCTTGTGGCCTTCCCTCTTTCACTCGCTCTTTTACAACCTGCTCTTGATTTGTCTCCTGAAGGGACAACACTGTGCCCCCAGAATTCAATACTGAGATAAATTAAATCTGTTTTCTGTGAGCTTCTGAGGGCAGTTTCTGAGGGGAGGTCCAAATGTGCTTGTTCTCAGCACGGGTGGTGGGGCAAAGAGTGAGTCTGATTCTGTGTAACTCTAGGCTGAGCACAGAAACCACCCCCAACTGCACCCCGACCTGCACATTTGTCAGTAACTGCAGAATGAATGACTTCAGACAGCACTCACATGGATATGAAATTTCTGGGTTTGTTTTTTATTTATTTTTTACTAGATTTATTTTCCTTGGAGTCACACACACTTCACAACCACCCAAAGACCTCCCCTTTCCAGTCGGGCAGACATTCACACCTCTTTGTGACGAGGATGGGTCTCTGCATTTGAGCACAGGGCTTCCCCTATGGGGTTAGTCTCCCGCCATCATTCTCTACCACTAAAAACCTGGTGAGCACCCAACCCTGCCAAGAGGTCCGAACAGGCGGAAGCCTGTGTCATGTGACTTAATACCCATTACAACCCCAGGAGATGCTTACATGTTCCTCCCCTTATGTCAGTGTGGATGCAGCCTGCTGGCTCTCATGGAACACAGGAGAGAGGAGAGTCAACCAAACATGCTCCTTTGCCTCTAAAGCCCGAGCAGCTCCCACTCCACCAGAACATCCTGGGCAGAGACTGGGCAGGAGGGAAAACCCACCCCCAATAACAATAATATTCCTCACTATATCTACCACTGGGATCCACAGATTTGTTTAGTAACCAAAACTTATTTAAATCCTTAAGGAATTCATTCCCTGACTTAAAGGGCGTTGTTATAACAACCATCATAACTTTGAATTTACTCTGGGGTACCGACAAAAGACAAAAACTCTTTTGATGCAACAGTTTCCCTTTCATGAAAAGAGAGGCACTGAAAGCAGTCACCTGGCTGTGTGTCCTTAAGCAAGTAATTTCTCTTTGAGCTTCAGTTTTTTCCATTGAGAAAATCAAAGGATCTGGCCAGATGATTTCGGAAATTCCTTACAGGACAAGCATCCTGATGAGAACTATACCCAAGCGCCAAGTGTAATTATCACAAAAACAAAACACCCTGGAAACCGTTAAGAAAAGAAACAAGTGTAACTAGGAGATAAGAGGGAGAGAGTGAAACAGCACGTTGACTTTGGGGAAACTCAAGACTCAAAGTGTTTTCTTGATTTTCCAACTTTTCCTTTGCCAAATACAAAAGTAAGTAGCTACTTCTGAGGCATTCTCGTTTTAAAAATTTAATTAAACAAAATCAATGAAAACAATGCTTTGTTCTGCCACAAGCGGCTCAGGAGTAGCTCCCTGGGAGACACTTTCTTCCCCTCCTGCTTAGGCTCAAACAAAGGCCTCCTGGCACCGGGATGAGACGCAGAACATTTAAGTCTCCACAGCTGGCCCGGGTCCATCTTGAGGGGACCCGGCAGCCAGGAAAGAAAAATAACGAGGCTTATGAAAGGCTGGGAGAGTAAGGAATTACTAAATCTAGCTTTTCTCAAATGAATAAAGAACTCTTGAAAGGGATAATGGAAGGGTGCAGCTTTCAATCTGAATTACTTCCTTTGTTTAACTCTATTCTGCCTAAGGCCACTGCCTTTCCAGCCAACCACGGAATCCGGGTTCCGACTTTGGTTGTCGGCAGAGCTGCGTGCAGTGTGGGAGTTTGGAGACCCATATTCAATCCTCTCTCGGTTGCTGATTTCACTTGGTTTAAACTTGGACAAGTAGCTGAACTCTCCTGGCCTCCCTTTCCCTGCCTGTAAAATAAGGGGGCTCACTGGATGCTCTTGAGAGCCTCAACAACCGAGGTGCAGGGCTGGAGGACCCCCAGGGGCAGGTTAATCTGCTGGCCGCAGCCCGACCTCTCCGCAAGCACACTTAGGCGGCGGTTCCTCGGCTTTCGCGCACACCATCCACTCCCACCACCTGACCGGCTTCCTTCTGCACCCACACCATCACCTAAGAGGCCAATTCATCACCCGCCCACCGCACCCCACCCCCAATCTCACTGCTGCCTGAACAGGTCTGATGAACGAAAAGCTGAGCTGAGCATACGTACGCAAAGGAAAAGCAAAACAAACAAGAGGCCTCTCCGGACCTAGGAATTTCTCTCAAATGAACTCGGATAGAACTAAAAATAATAGCGTCCCCTCCTAGAACAAGAGGCCTAGGCTGGCCTTTTTTGTAAAAACGCACAACAAGCCAAAAGGGGCCAATGACACCGGGGCAGGCTAGACGCGGGGACCTACAGGGCAAAAGCTCAAGCGAAACCCAAGACCGCGCTGGGCGGTGTTTCAATCAGACTGTTCTTTCTGCAGGCTGAGGAGGCGCTCGCCGTCCCCGGCAGAGGCGGTGCAGGGACAATGGTGCGCTAGGCACGGTCTTTTTTTGGAGGGGGACCCACAGACCCTTAATTCAACCTCCATTTCTAAGAAACCTCCGGGAGGTGGACGCGAGAGGTTGTCCAGGTCACATCAAATCATGCACCGAGGACACACTCTTAGCTCGAGGTAATCTTTTTGTAGCTTCCTTCTCGTTTCACATTTCCCTTTTTAAGTCGTGCAGTTTGGTCTGATGCCCAAGTGGTACCTTTTAAATGTCTCTGTCGTCCTCCTCCAGCAAGTGGCGCCCCCAGCACCGCTCCCTCCCCGGCAGTTGAGACAATGGCCGGGTTCCGCAGGGCGGCTCCTAAGGGCTTGCGGTGCGCCCAGATGCCAGGGCTGGGCGCACGTGCGTTTGTTATGGTGCCTGTGCCCCCACCCCTGCCTTGGGCCTCCGTTTGTCTGTCTGTAAACCCAGCAGGCAAGATCTGAAGGAACCTGGACTCTGCAAAGCACCTCCCTCCCCTGTTGACGACGGGGTGGAGAAAGTGGGGTTCCCGGGGACCGCCAGCACGTGGGTTTGTTGTGGTCCGCAAGCTGGCTGAGCCGGAGAGAAGCCAGGGCGACCCACCGACCCAGATTAATCCACAGATACCCTCGGTCAAAAGGTGGCGGGTCCACGCGGCTAAGGCGGCTGAGGGGTGCTGGACGCGGATTCCCGGCACCCTAGGCGCGCCCTGGGCCGCGCCGCTCCCCTCCTGCGCCCCTTCGCTCCGCGCCTCGCCGGGGCCCGCGCCGCGCCGCCGCCGGCCGCAGCCCTACTCACTCGCAGCATTCTCGGCCGCCGAAAGCGGCTGCTCCGCCCGCTCCGCGCCCCAGCCGTCAGGCAGCGGGTTCCCTTTGTTAGCTCCAGGCGGTGCCCCAGGCGTCTTCCTCAGCCTGGCCCGGCCCAGGACTCCCCTCCCCCGAAAGCCTCCAGACTCCGCGTTCGGCAGCGGCCGGAGAGCCCGGGAGCTGGGAGTCCCACCCGGGAGTCTCTGAACTGAAGGTGGGTCTGCTGGGGAGGAGCAGGGGACGGGGGACGCGGGGTGGAGGGGACGCGGGAAAGAGGAAAGAAGAGTGTGGCGGAGGGGCGGGGGAACCTAACCATCTCCGTTATGCAAATAGTCGGGAAGACTAAGTGGGTCCCCCCCTACAACCCCCGCCACACCGTGCCCCAAACTGCCCCAGTCCTCTGGAGGTCGCTAACAAGCGGGCCTCGGGATTAGGGGTGCCTGGTTAGGTGGTGCACCTAACCCCCGCGTGATGCTGGGATCCTGCTCCCCACCCCCCAGGAGAGCTGGCCGAGGGACAAGAGGGAGGGGCAACGCAGTGGAGCAAGGGTCCTCAAATGCTGGCTCTACCTAAGCGCACAGGTCCCGGAGGGTTGAATCCAGCACTCTCCGGCTTTTCATCCTAGTGAGCCGAGACTATAAATCCTGCCTCTGCTACTGACTGGCTGTGTGACCCTGAGCAAGTAGCTTAACCTCTCTGAAGCCTCGAATTCTCGTGTAGAATATGAAACCAAAAAAAAATTCTATTTCACAGGGTATGGTAAGAACCTCCCAAAGTTGGGCGTGCTCAAAAACCGCAGATACAAAAGGGAAGGAGGGTCGGAGAGTCCCTACCGATGGAGATTTCCAGAGCAAGCAGTCTGCAGGTTGGTGGGTGGGAGGTCTCAAGTAGGGTGGTAAAGGGAGCGAGGTTGCTTCCTTCACTGGGGCCGATCTGAGGCTCCCAGGAAAAGGTGAGAGGAAACCCACTTTTTGAGCAAGAGCCCTCGCACACACTGACCGTTGCTGGTGGCCCCAGAACCACTTTCCTAAGACAGAAAACATCCCTGTAGGAGGGCCAGAAGCTGCCTTGGTCACCACTGCAGTCCTTCTTAGAGAGTATATGATTACCAGAGACAATAATCTCCCAAAGGTCTATCGAGGGCCCACTTGGCATCTGGCTCTGTAATAGGAGGGAAGGGAGTGTGGTAGGGGAGGGGCAGGGAGAATGGAAAGTAGTCTGAGTCCCCTGGAAACACAAAGTTCTGTACACACTGGAGTGCTCCAAACCCAGGCCCAGGGCTTTCTTTCCAAATCGAGGTGGCCTCTCCCCACCACCATCCTGGGAAAGGGGAGGTGGCATTCCTCCTCTCATCCCCAACATCCTTCTTCCAAACACTGCTTCCCCCGACTCCAAGTCCTGGACCCCTCTTGCTCCCACTTATGGCCCTTTGCAGCTGCTGAGGATTGAGTAGAAGTATGTCCCCTCCCCCAAAAGAAATATTTAAAGCAAATTTTAATTGTGTCCTAATTCAGAGAGTGATGTCTTTATTAATCGAATTTCATGGTTTTTTCTTTCTGAAAGATGTGAGGTGATTTGTTGTGCAATATAGTCTATTGATTAGGAAACTGCCAGATGGTATTTATTAAATATTTGTACTAGTTTGAAAATAGTCTCTCTAAACCCCTATGAGAACAAGCATTTAAAAAAATAAATGAAAGGTTATCTGTTGCATTACAGTTAATATATATATAGTACAAAGAAATCTCAGTACAAAGAGCTCCAATTGGAAAGGATGAAAAGCAGAGTGAATTCACATCTCCATGACCACCTAGCTGTATGTTCTTGTGTAAGTGCCTCACACTGTAGATCTGGCAAATAGAAGGTGCTCAGAACAGTAAAATGTGTGAGTTAACGAGGAGAAGCAGACAGACTCTTACAAGACTGTTTCCGGGAGGGTGCTGCACAGACTTTATCCTGAGAAAACTGGAAACTTAAGATCTTGTGCAGGGGCATGACAGACCTCTTTATGTTTTACACCAATTCCTCTGACAGCGAGCATCCTGGAAAATGGATGACAGGAGCAGAGACCAGTATGGACACTGACATCAGTGAAAGTACAGCAGGCGCCGTGGCAAGGCCAGAGGGAATGAAAGAAGAATGTCCAAACCAGGGCTACCATCTGGGGAGCAGAAGCACTTTGCTTACTCTATTGTCTCTCCTCGTCATAAGACAGATGGTCGCCTTTACCCCACTTTATGGATGAGGAATTTGAAGTCACCTAGGAAATGGAAGAGCTAGAATTTGAACCCTCTTCTGCGTTCATTGAAAGCCTTAATCGTTTCTGTCCTCAGCATCACTTGTGTGTCAACACTACTTAAGAACCGAGAATAAGAAACAGAGGAGAGGTTTTTCTAGAAGGTGGTCTAGTCCCCACTCCACAGTTCTTTTCCCCAGAAGAACTCCAGCCAAATGATGGGAAAGACAAGGGACAGGCTCACTCTGGATTCTTGGCTCACAGGACCAAGGTGACCATGGATGACATAAGCCCAAGAAGTTCTTGGGGCTCCGAGGCAGATGAGCAGGTAAGCAGGGGCACCCCTGGCCAGTTTCTAGATGGGGAGCTGCTGTGGGTTATTCGCTCAAGGTGGCTGTCTTCAGTTGGGGCCTCCTAACCTAGAAGTCAGAGGCAGGAGGCTGGACCACAGTGTGGGGGACCATCCTGTCCACAACAGTGTGGGGGACCATTCTGTCCTCCTCAGCCTGTTTATGAGCCTCCTTCACCCATTGTCGCTGAGGCCTCTGCCTTGACAGCTGGTTTTCCTTAGCAGTACGAATACTAACTTTCCCTGCAGACGCCACCTCAGCCCCCTGCCCTGCGCTGACCTCAGCCTTTGCCCATGAATAATATTTTAGGTGATGCCTTTCTCACGCATCACTTTAGGCAGTTTACTGGCTAATACAAATAATGCCCTACTTTTTAATGTTCATTTACAACAATCCACTTGCAAAGAATATTTTCATAGCACTCTTGAAGTGGAGGTTATTACAGAATCTGGTGGGAGGAAGAAAAGAGATGCAGGCCGTTGGAAATGCCCTTCTAAACCCTTCATTCACCCCACTGTAGACACTCACCAAAACCCTTAGATACCCTTAATGTGAAACCTTGAAAGAAAGGAAGGAAGGAAACACAAGTGAACTTATTTACAGAACAGAAGCAGACTTACAGACATAGAAAGCAGACATATGGTTACCAGGGGGAGGGGAGAGGAGGGATAAATTGGGAGTTTGGGGTTTGCAGATACTAACTACTATATATAAAATAGATAAATAACAAAGTCCTACTGTGGAGCACAGAGAACTATGTTCAATACCTTGTAATAACATATTGAAAAGAATATATATATATATATATATATATATGTAACTGAATCTCTGTGCTGTACACCAGAAACGAACACAACCTTGTAAATTGCCTATATTTCAATTGAAAAAAAAAAAGACCCTTAGCCTTCCCAGTTCTTCTCTGCACCTTTCAGCACCTATTGTTCATTATAAAGGTGCTCGAGGTTAAAGGAACTGCTCTGTGGTCTATCTGCATCCCCTGCCTTGGGCCTCAGTGATGCCAATTTCAAAGATGAAGATACTCAGACACACCTAAGTCTGTAGAACCCAAGTCAGAAAATGGAACTAGAGTAACAGCATCTCTACTTTAAGCACCAGGGACTGCTCCTGCTGTCCCTACATGGATGGGCCAGTGGAGCAGGCAATGGGGCCAGGGGAAAGAACACTAGAGGGCAGAGGCTGGACACTAGAGACAGGCCTCGTGAGAGGACCGCAGCCACAAGACGAGGAAACAGCTGGTACAGCAAGCAGTGGCCTGGTGGCTCCATGACCTCAGAGTGGGGAACGGGCCTGGTGTGATCGGGACAGGGGAGAAATGGACACGTGTGGGCACATGGGTGGTTGTACTGTACATTACCCGGTCAGCTTCTGTCTGGCTCTGTCCTAGAAGATGAAAAGAGAAACCAAGTCTCTATTCTAAATTGCCTATGTTTTAGCAAATTTTCTCTTGGTTCATAATAATTATAATTGCCATGTACTGACCATTTCCTGTGTGCAAGGCAGTCCCTGTGTGTGTTCTCATTTAATCCTCACTTTGGGAAGAAGTATCATTCTAGAACCCTAGAGTGCCTAAGTCATCTTGAGCTCCTTCTCCTGTTCCTGCCTTAAGGCCAGTCTTAGCAAGAGATTAATGCTTAGGAGGTAAGGGAATGTCTACAAATCTCACTCGAAGAACATTAAAAAGTGAGAGACGTCTTTACAGAAGTTTTCTTAAGGAGACAAAATGGTGACCCAAACATCTTGAGGCAAGACTTTCTAGATACTTGCTTACAACACCCCTCTCCCCAAAGTTCTGCTCCTGCCAGTCATCCTCTCCTCCTCAACACCCCTCGCCCTCCTGTGATGCTCTTCCAGCCCTTACCCCCTTCCCAGGTCCTCCTCTGTAGATGCCACCCTTAATTTTAATGTTAATTAATTCAATCTGTAATTAATTTTAATTAGCCTTTCTCAATGACTCCAAAAGATATAAGAAAGTGGGAAGGAAGCCCCAGAAAGAAAAAGAGGAAGGGAGGGAGGGAGGAAGGAAGGAAAAATTCACAGGACGATAGACCTTTACGTCTGCAAGTGGCTTGCATATGCATTCGCCCACTAGAGGCCTCTTCAGGCTCCCAGTGACCTGTGAGGTCGGTGTGCCTCTTTATTATCCTCATTTACAGATGAAAACTCTGAGGCGCAGAGATAAATGAGATGCTTAAAGCCCACTAGTGAGTGTTGAGCTGTGCCTTGAAACCAAGGCCTCTTTCCTTCATACTGCATCCGTCCCCAAGGCTGCAAAAGACTGGCCAAGCCTGTCAAACTATTAGTGACACTTCATAGGCTGCAGCTGCCCAAACTGTTGCTCTTGCTGCCCTGGGGGCAAAACTCAAAAACTATGCCCAGGAGGCCAGATGCACCGGCAATGGCAGGAAATACAGGAGCAAAGGAACTCTGAGGACTCAAAGATGCTTGCAATGAATGCCCTCAAAAAGGTCCAGAAAATTGGTTTTTCCCAAGGGACTTGTACCGGAACCAAAGTGGAAGCTGCTTCTTGTGTGTTTAAGACCTGAGAATGACCTTCAGAATAACCTACAGGAATGGTCAGGCTTTGCACAAGAAAGCTTGTGGGCCACTGAAATGTCTTTGAAATTAACAAGTAGTTTGGGGGTGTGGGGAGCAGTGATTGATGCCTATTGGTGATTTGTCCCAAACCTGCCTCTGTACAGCCTCATGTTTTTAAACATCTATTTTTAATAGTTGCTTTTTTTTCTGATTTTAAAGATAAAATTTGCTCTAGGAAATTTAGAAAAGTCAGACAAGTATAAAGAGGCAAAAGGTGGGGATGGTAGGGTTGGGGACAGGGCGGAAATTGTCATCCCATCAGCCACAAGCAGAATTAACCTTTTGACCTGTTTTCTCCCAGTTGTTTCCTGTACAATTTTCTTTCCATTGAGTTGAGATCATAATGCAAATAAGGGATATCCGGCTTTTGTATCCTATTTACAGTAGATCCCAAGCAGCTCCTATGTAGATCGAACAATAAATGTATTCATTCACTTCAGCCCTTACTAGGTGCAAGGCAAATATTCTGAGGCAAGTTATTAGTGGCTTATTGTACTGTTTATTGGCTCAAAGACAGTTTAGTTTAGTGGCTTGAGAGTACTGACTCTGGAGTCAGGCTGCCTGTTTGAATCCTGACTCTGCCAGCTCCTAACTGTGTGACCTCGGACAAATTAATTAACCTCTCTGGCTCTGTTACCTTACCTGTAAAATAAGAACAGTAGTATCTACTTCACAAAGTGGTTCTGAAGATTAAACGAATTAATTGCATGAAAAATGCTTAGAACAATACATGGTAAGCACAAGGTAAATGATAGCTATTAGCAATGTATGAGTGCAGCATGAATTATTCAACCATTCTTCTGCCGCTGGACGTTAAGGTCATTTTCAATTTTTCCACTCTGATAAATAGTCTTGCAACAAACCATTTACTGCATGCATAACAGGAGAAAAAGTGGATTGAAAGTCCATTGTGAAGGGACTTGAATGCCAAGATAAGGCATGAAGAATTAAGAAAGTCAGGATAAATGATCCAGGAGAAAAATGTTTCTTGGGAAGTGGCATCTGATGAACTTCAAGAGATGATATTTAATTCTACTTGACAAACATTTATTGAGCCCTTTGGGCCAAGAAAGTGTCTAGACTAGGTCAGGGAACACCCAGACGAATAGAAGACACCAAGATGAAAAAAGGACAGGTTCCATGCTCAAGGAGCTTTAGTCAGATTTACAAAAATTTCACAATTGTTACCACTGAGAGGATGCTTTCACCATGATATATTTCTACCTATCACCCGTGTGGGCAGAGGTTCCAGAATGCCTAATTTCAAACGACCAATGCAGCAGAAGGTCCAAGCTCGGTCGGTCCTCCCTCACCTCCTCCTTGGGAAGGCTTTGATCAAGAATGCCTGCTTCATGCATGCTTAGCATACACAAGGTCCTGGGTTCAATCTCCAGTACTTCCATTAAAAAAGAATGCCTGCCCCACAGAAGGGTGGGACCTTAGGAATGGCGGCCACTGAGCCACTGAGCTCTGCGTATACTGTCAGCACACTGTAAATGCTCAGAAAATAAAGCTAATGGTTACTGAGCACTTACCTGCCAGGTGTTACATCAAGCACTTTCCAAATATTCTGTCATTGAACTCGTGCAGTAACCCTATTAGGGAGATACTATTAATTTTATTATTCATATTTTGTAGACAAGGAAACTAAGAAGTAAGGAACAACCAGGGTCACACAAACAATAAATGGTGAAGATGGATTCTTAACAGAGGCGTCTGATTCCTGACAGCAGGCTAGTGGCCAGTGTTAGGTCCTGGTGACTCGGACACCCAAAGGGTTATGCCACTGTTTGTTGTGATTCAGCCACGTGTATTTTATGCATCTCTCCCCAAAGACAGCTGAAGTTCAATGAAAGAAAAGCTACACAACACACAGGGCACCAATCTAGGAATCAACGGACTGAACTCTACTCCCAGTTCTCACGATTTAGCTTCTAGACCTCAGCCAACACACTTCCCTTTACTATTTTTATGACATGAGGGCAATTGGACTAAATAAGTTGTTTCCAAACTCGGCTGACCTTTGGAATCACCTACAGAAATCATATGAAGTACAAATTCTATTCTCCCCCAGTGGTGCTGGGGTTGGATCCTGGGTATCTGCAATTGTTGGCACGCTCCCCAGGCAATGTCGATGATCAGTAGGATTTGCCGACAAATCACTGGGTTACTTCTCAGGCTTTTTCTAGGTTGTCCCAGAGAAGCTCCTCCACAGGTAAAAAGCCACCAACCATGCCTGAGCATGTAACACTCCACGACCGGTGGAGCCTCAAGCAAGGAACCCTTTGCCAAAGGATTATGAGCTTTAGACTGCTGAGACTTGGTGTAGCCTCAGCCACTATCTCGTTGACCATCATCACCA